GGAGCAACAAACACAATGCAATCATCAAAATGCCATAGCCCTGTTTCTAGTACCCATTCTCTAGTACCCTTATCCAGGATATGAAACAAATATGAGGATTCTCCTAGTTTACGAACGAAAATATTACATTTCTTACCCCATATTCGATATGAGACCTCCAGAAGACGGAGAACAGCGATAGAACTGCCCATTTACATACTCTTTCTGATTCTCAAGTCCGTGCATAAAAACATGGTTTGGTAACTCAACCATTGGTGTACCATCCTCCATGTAAGTAGGTGAAGTACTGTGATGGAGATTTCTGATATTTGGATTGATTTTTGCGGCCCAAGGAAATCGCAATTGGCCATTCTCCTTCAACTCTGGTGGAAGAATGTCAGAAATCGAACGAGCATTATCTCTAGACGTTGGGATCTCTGATGGTGTCTCTTGCGGGATTGGATCTTTTAGCTCTATTGGAATCTTCAATGGTTTCACCCATGCACCTAAAGAAGGAACAAAGGGAGATATAACTTATGGCAATGGAGGATTGACAACAAAATCAGAACTAGTCTTTGAACTAGAACCTTCGATGGTAGTGGTTTGTTGGACAAGGATAGGGATAGACAACGACGAAGGCGGCTCTATTGTAGTTGGCTCCGACACCGTGGAGAGGAGAGAAACGTTAACAGAGTTGTCGATGGTTTCTTCTAGGGTTGAACCCTTCACGCGATTTGGATATGTATCATACGAATCCATGGAGGAAGATTAAGACGGGGGTTGGAGGAGATGAGGCTCGTCGGTTTGGACTCAGGCGAGCAGCCGGCAACGAATCTGCGGCAACGGCGGCTCCGTCGAAGAGATCGAGATTTGGTTTGGTTTTTCTTATATAACCAATTTAATGTGTTTTTTTTAATGTACAAATATAACCAATTTAACATGTACATATTTGAAAATTCATTTTCTACCATTTTTTTTATGTAATTTGTTCATCATAATAATGATTATTATATACATTTAATTTACGTAATACTACCGAACCGGTGAACGTCATAGTTTACTATTATGATAAAAGTATATAAAATGATAGGTGACATCACAAATCACGTCATTTAATTGTCAGATTTCATTTTATCGTGCCTCTTCCATTGGACCTCTACTTCTCCCAATTCAATGGACTAATTACTCGAATACCCCTCTAGGTGGAATTGAATTCAGTTGTAGCCTTCTCTATTCCCTTTACACTTGTTTTAATGTGTTGCCGGTTTTGTCTTTCGTTTTAATTTAAAAACATATTAAAAANTAAATTNTGAGCCAATAAGAATGCAGTATGCAACAACCAATCAGAAATATATTTTGTTAATAAACAAAATAAATTTCTAGAGAAAAATTCNTCTAAGAGTCTATTTAAATGCAAATGTAACTATTACAATGATATGATTATAAATCATATAGTTTGAGAGAGCTTTTTATGATAAACATAAAGATCACAATAGAGTAGACTCTTAGAGGAGTTAGAGAAAAACCTCTCTTGGAATTCCTAAAAAGATTGATCGTGGTCGCCTCGGCCACCATGTCTACTTTTACCTCGTCCTCTTACTGTTGTCCATTGCATCTCTTGGTATTTTTGCGTAGGTTTGATCGACCTTCCGCCTCTAGTCTTTTGAGAAGCAACACCTATCTCATAACCTGAATAATCTCCTAAGTCTAAAGTAGCCAAGAGATTGCTGCCAAAGCCATTCTCTTGCACAACTTCATTAGTCAATGAACCTATACAAGGGGTTGAGAGCGTTACCAAGTTAGGAGGAATTGTTGATGTAGTGACCGTGACAATGGGAGAAGGGCTACACGCTACATTAGTGGTAAGTGAAAATTCAGTGGAGAGGGCCTTTGGCAAGGCCAATGTTTCTTGAGAAGAATTAGTGTTTTCTAACACAGTTGGAGATGACAAACCAGTGACATTAATAGTGGCAGTTGGGGTTGTTGGTTCAACATCAATGAGAGGGACAGAGATTGCAGCCATAGTATCAACATGAGGAGAAACATGACAGCCATGAACAGAGGTTGGAGGAGNATGAACTGGAGAGCCACGAGCAAAGATTGGATATGTAGGAACAACAAGTTCATGTGAACCAATAGAGGTAGTCTTCGGTGTAGCACTTACAGTTCATTAAGTTGACGAAGAAGGAGGCACCTAGTTTTTTTATGGCCCAATTCTCCACATCTCTCANACTTAGGTGGAATCCAAGAGTACACAACTTCTACCATTGAAACGTTTCCATTTAAGTCTGCAGNTGCAATCCTCTGCGGAAAAGCCTTATCTAGTTCTACTTCCACCATTAGCTTTGCCTCAACTATTAGATTCGGGTCTAACCTTGGCTTATGAGTAAGCATTGGTTCTCCTAAACCTGAAACTATCCAACTAATTCCCCATTTAGAGTAGAGACAAGCTGGTATATTTTTTAAAGTAACCCACACTGGAACTGTAGTTATCTCTGGCAAAGCTAAAGAAGCAGCATGAGTCCATGGAGCAACAAACACAATGCAATCATCAAAATGCCATAGCCCTGTTTCTAGTACCCATTCTCTAGTACCCTTATCCAGGATATGAAACAAATATGAAGATTCTCCTAGTTTATGAACGAAAATATTACATTTCTTACCCCATATTCGATTAGCTACTGCGTGGATGAGACCTCCAGAAGGCGAAGAACAGCGATAGAACTGCCTAATTACATACTCTTTCTTATTATCAAGTCCGTGTATCAAAACATGGTTTGGTATCTCAACCATTGGTAGCGCGATGGAGATTTCTGATCTTAAGATTCATTTTTACTGCCCAAAGAAATCGCAATTGACCATTCTCCTTCAACTCTGGTGGAAGAATCTCAGAAATCGAACGAGCATTATCTCTAGATGTTGGGGTCTCTGATGGTGGTTCTTGTGGGATTGGATTTTTTAGCTCTATTGGAACCTTCAATGGTTTCGCCAAGGCACCTAAAGAAGGAACAAAGGGAGATATAACTTACGGCAATGGAGGATTGACCACAAAATCAGAACTAATCTTTGAACTAGAGCCTTCGATGATAGTGGTTTGTTGGACAGGGATAGGGATAGACAACGACGAAGGCAACTCTATTGTAGCTGGCTCCAACACCGTGGAGAGGAGAGAAACGCTAACAGAGTTATCGATGGTTTCTTCTAGGGTTGAACCCTTCAACGATTTGGATATGTATCATACGAAACCATGGAGGAGATGAGGCTCGTCGGTTTGGACTCAGGCGACCAGCCGGCGATGAATCCGCGGCAACGGCGGCTCCGTCGAAGCGATCGAGATCTGGTTTGGTTTTTCTTATATAACCAATTTAATGTGTTTTTTTTAACGTACAAATATAACCAATTTAACATGTACATATTTGAAAATTCATTTTCTACCATTCTTTTTATGTAATTTTTTCATCCTATTAATGAATATGATATATCTTTAATTTATGTAATACTACGAGAATTTGATACGAACCGGTGAACGTCATAGTTTACTATTATGATAAAAGTATATAAAATGATAGGTGACATCACAAATCACGTCGATTTAATTGTCAGATTCTATTTTGTCGTGCCTCTTCCATCGAACCTCTACTTCTCCCAATTCAATGGACTAATTGCTCGAATACCCCTCTAGGTGGAACTGAATTCAGTTGTAACCTTCTCTATTCCCTTTACACTCGTTTTAATGTGTTGTCGGTTTTGCCCCTCGTTTTAATTTAAAAACATATTAAAAACTAAATTCTGAGCCAATAAGAATTCAGTATGCAACAAACAATCAGAAATTGATTTTGTTTATATATGTTTTTTGATTTATTTTGTTGTTTAAAGCTTTAAGAAAAACAAAGATCCCGATCCAAAATCAATCCCGAACGAAAATCAAAATCTATCAATGGAAGAATGGAGAACATCATCCGTATACGTCGCCGTCGCCATTGGAGAGTATACGACGCCGTCGCATTCCAAAAGCTCTGCATTATCGGGCGGATTGTAGCTACATTCCTTGCAGATCTGTTGCCGTACGTCATGTATCCATCGCAGATCGGGTACATCTCAGTCGATTTTATACTAAATTATCGAAATGGAAGTATACTGATTGGAGTATCTGATTGGATCGATTTGTCTTGGTTTCTATGAATTTGTGTTTGTCTTGTAATTTTGTGAATTGATCGATTGTAGGTATAGATTGTAAGATTGTATCCGATTGTGAGTGCGTTTGAGTTCATTAGGCCATAAGTTTTGTGGATTCGTAGATAAAGTTAGTGGATCTTTAGTTTGAAATAATGATATTGGGAATTTGATTTTGAGTGAATCCA